AGCTAGAACCATTATTCATGTCTAATTCATGTCCTTGGGGTCCTTTTTCCTAAATTTTCCTTCTCTGATTTTTATTAGTACTGCATCACAGATATTCCCATATCATTTAATACCCTTCAAAAGATACTATTTTGATAACTGCACATTTCATTTTTTGGTTACTCTGTACGTGATCAAACCAAACGCTTATAGGCAATTGGGTATTTAGTTTGTTTCTAGTATTTTACAACAGTGGGTGTTCTTTGTAGTTAATTTTGGACCACATCCTCAATATTCATTCATTCTATTCTTTCTTTCTCTTTCTTTCTTTCTCTTTCTTTCTTTCCTTCTTTTTCCTTCCTTCTTTTTCCTTCCTTCTTTTTCCTTCCTTCCCTTCTTTTTCCTTCCTTCCTTTTTCCTTCCTTCCTTCCTTCCTACCTTCCCATTATTTATTTTTCCAATATTACTTTACGATACACTCCTGGAAGCGAAAGTGTTTGGGTATGGGCAAATGTCAAATTTGCAGGCTTGTGGTCCGTGAAGGCAAACAGCTCTCCTGAAAGGTTGTTCTGATTCTCTTCTCGCTAGTGAAGCGTGGCTGTTTGCCCGCTGCCTGCTGCCCTTGGCTGCTCTGATCACGTTGCCATCCTTCTCTCCACTGAGGCTGGAGGCCTGGCGGCCAGCTCGAGCTGAAAGAGAATGGCCAGAGGGGGTACTGAACGGCCCCCTCCCTTTTTGTGGCCGCTTCCCCACCCCGCACGTGGGGGAGTCCCGATGCTTCGGGCAGGAACCCTGTGCTGGGTGAAGTGGGCTTCCCCTGTGGGCACAGCTGTCCTTGGTCAGCACTGGCCTCCTTCCTGAACTGCCTGTATGTGTCTCCCTGAGAGGTCCCCCCCCACCCCTGCTTTCAGCTGGCTGGAGCCTTTTGTGTCCCCGGAGCTCTTGGCAAACCTCCACTGATCCACCGTAGCTAAAAATACTCTTAAGCAGAGGGTTGCTTTTTGGCCCAAGCCTCCCCTCCCCCCTCTCGGTTCTAAACACCTACAGGTTACAGGTTTTCATGGGGTTTTCCACTTCCTTTGAGGCCATATGGTTATCTTTGAAGGGTGAGGTAAATTCTTGCTGTCTTTTCCATGGCACCTCAGTATGTTTTCTTATGGTTCTGGTATTTGGCTATCAATCTTTTGCAGCTTCCACGGCCCCATTTTTTTTTTTTTTTTTTTT